CCTCTGTGCCCTCTGTGCGGGCAGCAGGTTGAGTGTCCTCCTGCCCGCCGGAAGAAGAGCTGAGCTGATGCTGCTGTTCCTCAATGGGCACTCCTTCCTCCTCAGCTTCTAACATGATGAAGCTTCGCAACACCTCTTTAAAAAAACATCAACAACACTAATGTGTAGCTATGAATCAAATGAACACTTTAACCAGCTTCTTTCAGTAGCCTACATTTAGAGCCACAGCAGAGAGGCTTTCTCTACTTGTTCTACCTCCAGTTGACTGAGAATCGAAACTTAAATCGCTCCTCACATCATTACTCCCCGGAAGACTAACCTAAATCTCTTTGGGTCTACAGTTCAAAGTGATAGTGTTGGAGTACAAGAGCCTAATGATTAAATAAATTATTTACTTACCACTAATAACCGCAGTAGGTGTTGTAAGTCTATAAAGAGGCAGCGACAACAGGTGCTGAACTTCCTTGTTCCGTGTCTAACATTTGTTTTAAAGGGCGTACACTGCGGCAGGTTGTATCTCAGCTAAACACACAGGTCTTTTTATTACGAGGATCGAATTTACAGAGAGACAAACCACAAACACTGCGCATTTACATACTGCGCTGCTGGTTTGGGACAAGTCTCATACTGTACTGTAAGAAGATGATCTCAGTTTGTATTGTATATTATGAGACTGGTTTAGGATTTCAACTGCATCCACCTGTGCACGCACACAGTGCTAATTTCACTCTCTTTTTCATTATGTCATAATGACCCAACTTGTTTCAAGGTGTCTGACTGGATCAACCTGTAGGAGGCCAGGGCCCCCCTCCTGTCTAGCAGGTATTCTATACTTGCCAGGTGGGACAGGTTGCTCTGCTTGTGTTACAGTACATTAGACTGTTTTGCTCTCATCATCTCAATATTATATGTCTTTAGAAGGGAAAAACAAATGTATCCACAATTACAAACCCTTTTTGTGTATGTTGAGTATGAGTGTACCTCTTTCATTTTGATGGAAATGATAACTTTTAAAAGCCAGGGCTGTCCATGTGCTATTTTGCCACACACAACATATTAATAGGTCACATGGAATTATACTAAATTGTCTTTTAGCTTAGTTTTGCTCAGTTTTTAAACCCCCAAGTGCCCAAAAAACCATGCAGTCTAAAACTTGGGCCCCACTTTGGAGGATGTAAGTAATTGCACAAGTTTTATATGTTGATGCCATTATTTTCTTCTGGTACTCGGACTAAATGACACTGAAACAGGCCATGTGCTGTCATGTTGCTGGGATCCATCTGGGTTGTACAGGATCTGAACAGAGTGTTCTCATTAGAAGTTGGGTGTTACTTCTGTCAGCTTGAGCATTTCTGAGAGAACATATGATGTTGATTGTTGTTGGGTAACTCACTTCATACAAATCACTTCCTTTAGTGATGCTGTAGTAATTTAAATTGTATGTAAATGGCCTATAGCAACACAGGAAAAAACAAAAAGGCTTATACCATGATGAATGGGATCAACATCACACACTGCATCAAAAACATCAGAATGTTGTTCATTTTGTGAAATAAATAGTTTTTGTAGGTTATTTGCTTGTAGTTTGGTTATGAAGCAAATATGGGGCAAGGAGCCTTTTTTTGTTAAACACAATCCCATCTGAGTTTGGAGCAACCACAAAACAACCACAGACAAATATCAAATTGAACGGTTAATTGGATATTTTAATCAATGAATGTTGCTTACTTCTATCACTGTTCTGTTAGCACAGGATGAAGACTGAAGAATAATAATTTAGGTTGCCTAAATCATAAAGATGCCTAGATTAACCCTACAGGTTTGTGCAACACACTATTCATACGGTTTATGAAAGATTTAGCTGGTTTTGATTTTCTCTCTCAAGCTTATGTTCCTGCATCTTTTCCTAAAATACCAGTGAATGGCATTCATGATTCAACTGGACAATCACACAATCAAGCAATTGTGGGATGAACCAGATCATTGAAAGCGA